AACAGGAGTACTGGTGGCCCCTTAGAGCCTAACAAATTAATAGAAGCATAACAGTTGGTAAAGGAAAGCCCAAGCATCCGAAGAAGTGGGCTGTAGTCCACGAAAGCTTATGCTCTAATAAATTTGTTAGTCTCTAAGGTGCCACAAGTACTCCTGTTCTTTTCACAAAGCAGAGTGGGAGAGGCAGACTGGGGGATGGTGACTGCCAGGTAGGGAGGAAGATCAAAGACTTGGAAATGTGAGAAAGACAAGGTGGAAGAAGAGTTTGTCTGGAGTTCCCCGAAGTGGGCCATTCTGTCAAAACATACAGAGCTTCAACAAGGCCATAACAAAATCTGGCATTGTTTGCATGATTCATTGAGATGGTATTTAGTTCACTCCACCTACAAAATCCTTCCTTTGCATGTACCCAAAAGATACAGCTGCCTAGCAGTTGACACACAGAACAAGGAGTGCTGAAAACCAATTGAAAAAGAACTGAAACCCAGCAACAGCTACCTGATTGGTTTCAGGCATACATTCACATGACACACATAGAAAGAATTTACAGAAGGAGGGGTTTCTCTTTGGGGAGTTATTTCAGCCTGTAAGTGGGTTGTAAGCTACTTCTGTATTAAAATTTGTGGGCATTCTTAATTATAGAAACATAAAAGACTTGAATAGAAGCTCAAATTTAGAAGGCCAATTACCTAGTCTGAAAATAGGCAGGGATGTTAGGCTTATTCTGTTAGTTATCCGGTGTGTATTTAGGCAGGACTGATTTTAAAATGATCAACTCTAAAAACTGAAGAACAACCTATTTTGCTACAAGATGGCGTTTCACAGCATGATTAGATAAATAATGGGTACTTGCCTAATTTTCATGCCCTATGTGCCATTTATCTACCTTAGTGGTGTAGGGCCTAGTTCAGGGGTAGGCAAACTTTTTGGCCTGAGGGCCACATCGTATACATCAAGCACAGGCACGGTGGTGCCGGCGTCCCCCGTATGGGAGACCTCTGTGACATCGCGGTCATCACGCACGCCTTCCGCCTCCTGACGTGCCCGGACGCCAAGGTGAAGAACGTTGCAACGACCGCCCTGCACGCCGCCACCGAGAAACGAATCGGCAGACCTCCCTCCGACCGAGATGTGGCCACCTTCCTGAGCGGCTCCCTGGACGGCGACTTTGCCCGGGACAGGGGCGATCTCGCCTCGCTGTGGACCCGCGCCCGCAATGGCACGCGCCGGCTGGGAAAGCGACTGGGCTGCCGCTGGGAATGGAATGAGGAACGGCAGGAGCTGGGAGTCCTGATACCGCGGATCGGAATGGAGGACAACATCATCGTCACCCCCGGAGCCAGAGGTGTGCTGGAGAGATCCCTGAAGGCCGCCGTCCACGCGCTCTACGTGGACACCCTGAAGAAAAAGCCGGACCAGGGTAAAGCCTTCGAAGTAACCAGCAAGTGGGACTCCAGCAACCACTTCCTCCCCACGGGCAGCTTTACCCGGTTCACTGACTGGCGGTTCATACACCGCGCCCGGCTGAACTGCGTCCCACTCAACGGTGCCATCCGCCACGGGAACCTGGACAAACGCTGCAGGAAGTGCGGGTATGTCACCGAAACCCTGCCCCACGTCCTATGCTGCTGCAAGCCCCATGCCAGAGCCTGGCAGCTACGCCACAACGCCGTCCAGGACCGACTAGTGAAGGCCATCGACCCGCGTCTGGGAGAGATCACTGTCAACCGCGCCGTCCCCAGCATCGACAGCCCGCTGCGCCCAGACATCGTCGTCAAGGACGAGGTTGGAAAAAAGATCATCCTGGTCGACGTAACGATTCCGTTCGAGAACAGGACCCCGGCTTTCCGTGAAGCCCGAGCCCGCAAGCTCGAAAAATACGCCCCCCTGGCTGACACCCTGCGGACTAAGGGCTACGAGGTGCACGTCGACGCTCTGCTCATTGGGGCCCTGGGTGCCTGGGACCCGTGTAACGAACGCGTGCTGAGGACCTGTGTGGTGGGCCGTCATTACGCACGGCTCATGAGACGCCTATCGGTCTCGGACACTATCCGTTGGTCCCGGGACATCTACACGGAGCACATCACCGGCCACCGCCAAAACTGAGAGTGAGCCGGGGAGACCTCGTGCACCCAAGACCCCCCCTGCTGGACTTTATCCCCTGAGCCCTGAACCCACCAAACCTAACTGAATCCCACCACGTGAGGGTCACCCCATCCCCATGACCCAGCCCACTTACTTATACCCATGACTGTCTCTACTTCCTGTATGGATGACAGCCCCTCACCGCTTATCGGCTGTTTCCTGATCCCGCCCACCGGTTACCCCCCCCCATTGGGGACATTGCAGTCTGTATATACTATGTGTGCTGCCCAACCCCAAATCACTAACATCCCCCCTATACTCTGTATGTTACCCCCAATGACCAATAACTGACGCCTCAAATTTCCTGTGTCGTTTATTTTTTAAATATTCTCTAATAAACTTTAAATTGTATGGCAGGTCATGAATGCTCACAAATTTGGGGTTGGGATGTGGGGGTGGGGTGAGGGCTCTGGTTGGTGGTGCAGGCTCTGGGGTGGGGCTGGGGATGAGGTGTAGGAGGGTGCTCTGGGCAGGGACCGAGGGGTTTGGAGGGTGGGAGGGGGATCAGGGCTGGGGCAGGGGTGAGGGAAGGGATGCAGGTTCAGGTTGGGGGTGTGGGCTCTGTGGATGAGAGGTTTGTGTTGCAGGAGGGTGCTCCGTGCTGGGATTGAGGGGTTTGGAGAGTAGGAGAAGGATGAGGGCTGGGGCAGGGGGTTGCGGCGTGGGGAGAGGCTCAAGGGTGCAGCCTCTGACCAGTGCTTACCTCAAGTGGCTCCTGGAAGCAGTGGCATGTCCCTTCTCTGGTTTCTATGTGTGGAGTGGCCCCTGACTCTGCTAGCGCCGGAGCAGGGCCATGCAGCTGCTTCCAGGAGCTGCGTGGTGCGGCCCCCAACCCTGCACCCCAGAGCGGAGCCATGCCACGGCTTCTGGGAGCTGCATGGTGTGGTCCCTGACCCAGTGCCCTGGCTGGAGTGCCGGAGTGGTCCCTGCCCTCGCTGGAGCACCGGAGTCGAGCCGCAGGGTGCAGCCCCTGACCCGATGCCCCGGTGGAGTGCCGGAGCAGGGCAAACCCCAGACCTTGCTCCCCAGTGGGAGCTTGGGGGCCGGCTTAAAATGGCTCCAGACCGCAGTTTGGCCACTTCTGGCCTAGTGCCTGGCACTATGGGTGAATTTCCCCTTAAAGACAGG